TAAAGCCGCGAGCGTGCCGCAGACCTTCGTGTAGCAAGTTCCTCAACCACATCGTTTACCTGTGCACGAGAGGCAAGAGCAGTGTTTTGGGGGTCTCCTTAACCGTTTCTTCCACGTTTCCCTGATTCGGCTGCGAAACCAAAACCTGCTGGCGCACCTCTGTGCGACCAGCGGCGTGGGACGTCAGGCTGGATTAACGCCCCGAGTCCTGACAGAAGCCAGCCCGCTGCTACGGCACCGGTTAGAAACCGAGTTCACCGCCGGTTTAATCCCTGCAAGGCTAAAAGCTGCGGGCGCGTGACCGAACTCAAGGAAGCCCCCCCCGCCCCGCAACCGACACCGGCATTACTGGGGGAAGCAAAGTCCGTTTTCCTCCCAAAGTCTCCTTTTGAAACCTGCACTTTGCTCAGCTGAAGAGGAGAGGAAGGAGCAGGTGGGCAGGGAGAGAGAGGAGAGATTATCCCCCGTCTCTTCAAAAAAACCCAAGTTTTCATTCACTGCACCCAAAACACCCTGAGACGTTAAGCTGGAGGTCGCATCCTCCCGCTCCCTGTCGTGAAAACGGCGGGGGGGAAGCAGAAAAAGCAGCAGCCCCGGCCCCGCAGCATCCACTGCTTGGACACAGGCGGCTTGAGTCTCTACAGCAAACAGCGCTTTTATTTTCTCGTGAAATAGCTGGGAGAAGGCAAGATTCTCCCACGGGAGCCGTTTATTCCCAAACACCGGGGGAACGCACACCGACGGAACGGTGGGACCGCGCTGACAATTTCCACTCAAAGACAGCTCTGCTAATTACAACCGATTTTGCACCAGGAACGAGTCCTAGAACCATCTGTTTAGTTTGTTGGAAAAAAACCCGAATAACCCTCACCCACCTGTATTTCTCGGCCGAGAAATGTGTGTTTTGTCAGAGCCCCGCCAGCAGCACCAGCGATAAGGGTGCCCTCGTAACGTAGGGTCATGTTAGCAGCTCGGTACGTCGTAAAATGCTTTCAATTCCCCAGTTAATAAAGAAAATAGAGGTTTTGGCTATGGGAGGAGAGCGGTTTTCCCTCCTCTTTACTGATTTATTAACGCAAACGTTTATCTACCATGGCTTGCTGGGGAACTGCAGGCTCCCTCTTCCAAAACCCCGCGAGGTAGCGCCGAGCAGCTCGCGACGGGGAAGGGCTGCGGAAGGGATTCTCCGCTCCGAAGCCAGGAGGCACCTTAAGGTGTAACATCGGAGTGCAATAAAGACACGGAGGGAGCTTTATTCATTCTAACATAGAACAAATGCTTTTATTGCACTTTTAGAAAAATCTGCATAGTCCCAACAAACGGGATGATCCCCCCGCCGCCGCCCCTCCACTTACGCAGAACGTTTGGTTTCAAACAACCGCCGCAGCTCAAACGCAAGTACGAGCCGCCCGCAAAAAGGAAATCCCAACGGGGTGGCCTTTTTTTTTTTTTT